TGCACAAACTAATGTATTTATGCTGCAGGAGTTACACCACTTAAACACCTTTGAGAGTTGGATGCATTTTTTACTTACGTGCCATGAATTTGCTAAAATAGCTACAGCATCATGTATTAATGGGATGTTAGATTATGCAAATATTAATGGTTTAGTATTGCCACAAGCAAGAACAGCTAGTAATGTAAAGTAATGTCAAGTTGTTAAAATGGTCGCCATTGGTTTATTTTTGTTTTCCTTTAATGTCCCAATTTTGAGCTTACAATAACATTTCTCATCTGCAAAATACTTTTTTGACCACTCTNATTTTGAGCTTACAATAACATTTCTCATCTGCAAAATACTTTTTTGACCACTCTGTGCTATTAATTTCCTTTCAGTGGAGATGAGTACTCTGTAGGACTGCTGGATCACTATGGTTATGAAGATGTTCCTGGTGAAAATGGACTCTCTCAGGTCTTTGTGAACACAGTCAATGACTTCATGCAATACTACTACAACCAGCAGATGTTTGTGAAAGAACTGGTGAGTCCATTGGAGGAAACTGCCAGTTTTGAATTTCTCTCAGTTTTGATCTTTCAACAGCTTTCTGAGACAAAAAGAAGCAGAAAAGCATCGGTTAAAATTCTAAAGTAACCTGAGAAAAACATAGGCATTGAGGCTTCAGATTATGTTTTGTTCATTAATTAAAGATACAAGTTCAGCCACCCAATGAGAAAGAAAGATCCATTTTTGCCACGAAACTTTTCCAAAGCAACTTCTTGCAGAATCTTGTCAAGCATGGACAAGTTTTGGACAAGTTCCTTTTGGTGTGTCTTGGATGAAAATCAGAATACTTGTCAAATTTTCATTGAAAAGTCATCCAATGACTGGACAAGTGAGTGGACAATTAGTGATAATTTTTTGATCAAGAGCAGACAGGTTTTGGAGCAAACTGGGACAACTGCTGGATAAAGATTGCTGGACATCAATCCTTATTTTTATCTAACAATTCTGTGGTCAGCTGTTGCCAAGGCCTTTTTCAATAAAATTTTTGTATATTCCCTCATATTAACAGATTTTTTAAAGATTTGTTTCCCTGTGTTTTCAGGGGGACTTGGAAAGTGAGGGAATCACGGTGCCAGGTCAAATAGCATACAAGGACATCAGGTCAATTGTGGACTTTGTTCTGCATGGTTCCCATGGGTTGTTGAAAGCAATTGATACCAGGACCATCACAAATAGGGCTGGAAGCATTCTGGGTAAGTTTCATTTTTCTCTGAACTTTTGTCCACCCAACTGATTTTTGTTTCTATTTCAAAACTCAAGGAAATAATTTTTTTAGTTTAATTCAGAGCGGGGAATTTATGGTTGTGTACTTTGGAAATCCAATCAACAATGTTTAAACTGCTCAAATGGATGAGCGAAAAACAATTTTTTTCTGCTGCAGATGATCTTGCTGAGATGACGTCAACCTGCGCAGAAGGAATAATGACTGTGCAAAGTGCCAAATCCAGTTTCCAGCTCCTTCACGCCAACAAGCCCGTCACCTATTCAAATTGCACGCGTTTCCAAAAGGAAAATTCCGCGTTTCTCGCAGATCAAATCGCCACAGTCATCACTTCGTCGCGCAGCAAATTAGTCCGGGCCTTATTCGCCGCCAAAATTCGCCTCACGGGGGGTCTAGTCGTCACCGAACCCTGCAGCTTTTTATCCGGTGCCAATACTCCGATGGCGAGTTTCACTGCGCCAATTTTGGAGGTTGAAGGTTGCACCTTGCCATCGAAAAGCAAGGTAATGGAAGAGAGAGAAAAAAATCAATGAATTTTTAAAAAATTGAATCTGAATGCGTGTTTTGTCGTTTACTTTTTATGCAGAACATGCCAACATGTAGTAGGAAGGGTTTTTCGCAAACGAAGCGCCAATTGACACGGTCAACAATGTGCAGGGCGGCTTTGATGAGTCTCATGCAGAAAATGGTCGTCTGCTCTCCTCATTTTGTGCGCTGTATCAGACCCAGTGATCACGCAGGTTTGTTTTCGTTTTCATTTCAATAAACGTGCAGTTGTTTGTACAGTATATTTATATAAATTACTTTTTTGCATAATGTATAGGAGAAGTTCCTTTGGAACTGAATTTAGACGTCGTTTCGAGGCAGTTGAAACACTTGGGCGTCATGGAAACGCTGAAATTGCGGAAGGTTGGATATTCAAGTCGGATTCCGTTCTACGAATTTCTACGTCGGTTTGTAACATTCTTTTTTTTATATATTGTATACGCAATGGGGCTTTAGGATTTTAACGTAATTAGTGTTTGGACCTTGTCCCTAATAAGTCAGAGCATCAGTGGGTTAAGTTCACACAAAAGGAGGCAAACATTCAAAAATGAAACACAGAATCAGCCATGGGGTGCAGCTGGGGATTTCTTTTATGAAATCCCAAAAGAAAAAGAAAAAAATGTATTTCAATTTTAACCCCAAGAAATAATGCACACACTTCTTCACAAAACAGAATTGATAAAGGTAACCTTCACAGTCACCCGATTTCAACACACATCTGTATCAGCACACCTGATTCTTCCACACACCTGATTTCTTAAAACCCTTGAGGGGAACAGATTAAAATATCTAGTATGCAATTAATTTGGCTACCATCCAACAGCAGTCAGTGTGCAAGTATAGCAGTACGTTAAGGTACCAAATTATTCCATCACAGCATCCATATGTGGCTTCACATTTACCCAAGAGACTTCAAATGAACAACATTTTTTAGTTCCTGTGCTCATCAAGAAATTGTGAATCAGCTATTCTGCAACTGTTGGGGAAGAACTTACCGCAAGATAAATTTGCAAGAAATTGACAAGTGGATCTAATGAGGAATAGAGAATAGTTCAAATAAAACTCAGAATCAGCCTGGGACAAGGCTGGAAATTCCTGCAGGATTCCTGATTTGAAACTGCTTGAGGATATATTTTGAGTTTTTCCCAACACTTGATGGTTTTAAAAGGAAAATATCAAAGACACATACATAAGGAAATACCCTTCCTGGATTTTTCTGGACTTACGCTTTCCCAACCTGGGTGCACTTCAGTCAAACTAAAATGCACTCCCCCCCCCCAAAAAAGCTCCAACTTTGCCACAGGACAGTCAGGAACCCTCTGCCACCCAAGGGTGAAGCGTTAATAGGCAAAAATAAAATTTTCATGAAGAAAACAGTACAGAATCTGATCTAATGGCATCAAAAGGAGGTCAAGAAGCAGATAACAAGAGAAAATCTAAATAAACTGAGCAAAATTATGAAAAATCTCTGAGGAAAGGGCAGAAAATTATATCCTGTGTTTGATTCTGAATTAGAGGAATTTTGTGAGTAACTTAGTATTTTGATTTTGAAAATATCGATATTCTAATTTTTTAGACGTTATTAAAATTCAGAAAAATACGTTTCAATCCTCTAATAGTAATGTTGGAAAAGTATGTCCATATACAGGTGGTACCTTGCAATTTGACCATCCTGCAATTTGGCAGTAATATTTTTTGGGAGTTTGACTTGCAATTCGACTCATGCCCCACAATTGAACCTGCTTTGCATATTTTTTGTTTTGTTTTTGAACTTGTATTTTTAACCCTTGTGCTGCAAAGTTGGGATATATTTGAAAAATTTTGTGTCACTGAGAACTGGGAATTTAAAAAATGCAACTTTTGTACAAAGGCCAAAGTCGGGAAAAAGTCTGACTTTTTTTCTAATCCAGCAGAAAATTTTGGATGAAAAATTTAAAAAATCCCTCACTGGGTTGCGTTTTTTTTCCTGCATTCCTGGCATAGGATCAGCATTGAAGATTCCTGGAAACAAAAAAAGAACTTTTCTCCTGGATTTTTCCCAACTTAGGCCTTCTCATCCTGGGAGCATTTCAGCAACCTTGGGTCAAACTGAAAAGCTCCACCTCCAAAAAATATCCCCACTTTGCCTCACAATGGAAATGAACCTTCTGCTGTCCAAGGGTTAATTGCATATGGAGTGTTTTGAAATTTGACCAATAATTTGCATATCAACCCTATTGTGGCAATGGATTAGTGTCAAATTGCAATACTGTATTGTGTGGATGTTACGGCAGATTTTTGTATTTTTTGTTTCAAGTGTCCCAAAGTCAAATCTTTTGCATGACAGCGCGTCCAAATAATTATTCTCCATTTCTTCTTCCTCAAAAAAATAAACTGTGAAGGTACAAGTTCCTGGTCTTCGATTTCGAAGAAACTGTCGACGAGAACGAGGAGAACTGTCGACTGCTCTTCCTCAGACTGCGTATCGACGATGGATGGTCTTTGGGACGAACGAAAGTTAACTGTGAAGGTACAAGTTCCTGGTCTTCGATTTCGAAGAAACTGTCGACGAGAACGAGGAGAACTGTCGACTGCTCTTCCTCAGACTGCGTATCGACGATGGATGGTCTTTGGGACGAACGAAAGTTTGTCTGAAATATTACCTGGAAGAATACTTGTCCAGACTTTACGAAAAGGAAGTGAGGAAAATTATCAAGATCCAAGCCATGGTTCGCAGATATTTGGCAAGGCTGAAGGAGAAGAAGCTCATCGATGACAGGAAGCGAAAGAAGCGTGAGTGATTTTCCTTTTTTTTGTGTCAAAAATGTAACTCCTTTTCAATTTTCTTCGCTTTGTTCTTTTTTTTTAAGGTCAAAGAACCAAACATTACAAGTTTGGTGAAGGAGTGACTGAAGATGAGGCTGCTGTGAAACTTCAAAAGGCATTCAGGGGTTTCAAGGTTCGCAAGGACCTCAAGAAAAACAACGGTGCCCTTTTTGTCCATTATTTTTGGAAAAACACAAGGTATATTTTGTGTTTTGATAGAAATTTTGCCTTTTTATTTTTTTTTAGACGATGATAATAAGAGGACGTTGGTGTCTTCGCCGGGGGGCATGAGAATCGACATTGCGCATTATTGGCGTAAATGGAGATCCCGAACCATCTTCCAACAACTTCAGCGCTACAGATCTGCGAACGTGGAACAGCTGATATATTTCTCTCAACAGGTGAGGAATTTGGGGGGAGGGGGAGATTTGGCATGATTTCAGTTAAAGTTGTTCAATAAGGATTGAATTTATGGTCACGGATAATAATTTGAAAGTCCTTCAACTGAATAATTTCTACCTTCAGAAATATCTCTTTGATGATTGCATGAATAATTGCAAAAAAATTGCAACTGCCTTCATCCTCTGCAGGTCTGTTAGAAACCGATTTTTGAAATGAGGGAATGCTGAATTTTTAGATTTGAATCCCTTTTTCAAAATAAATCTTCAGACAACAATCAGCTGGGCTGTGGCCAGGGTGCTTTACATACCGTAGTGTAAGGTTGGTATATTTATATAATAGAAACACAAGTTTTGAGTACGACAATCCAGCAGGTCAACAAAATGCCGAAGTTCGTTTGTATGAGACTGACTCAGAGCAACTGCTGCTAATACATACAATATATCTGTCATTTAAACTATTTCCTCTTGCAAAATTTTGTCCTGGGATGGACTTATCCTCTTTTCAAGATTTCCCCAAGAATTTGGACTCTTGTGGGAACTTGAGGTCAAACTTGGCCCCACAGGATTCCAGACTTATTCAGATATTATGTTCAGTGGCACCATTGTAATCTGTCTAAAATTCTATTACCTGTATTTCTAATTTCCAACAGGGACTCCGCATAAATAAAAACTTTGACCATCACGGAATTCGGCGTAAATTGATTCCAGATTTTTAAAATTACAAAGCTTGATGAAAATAGATTCCAGAGATGAAAATAATTTACTTGCTTTTTCGAGCTGATTTGGAGTTTCAATAATGGTATTTTCCGAGTTCTTCAGAGAAATAGAAAAATGAACTTTTGTCTTTTCTATATACTGATGTATTTAAGAGATGATCCAAAAACATTTCGGAATATTTTTGTGTTTGATTCGTTTTTTTTCATATTTTAACTCAAAACGATAGGAAAGTTGACAGAGTAAGATTTACTTGAATAGTTCTAAGCAAATGAATTTTTAAACTACTGGATATTTTTAATAGTTGCGCGCCAAAATTGTACAACAATACATTTTGAGAGGATACTTTTTTAGAGCACAACTTTTGAAAATGTAATAGGTTTTTTTTGTCCGCAATGGAATTTTATGATGACGTGAAATGGATTTTTTGAATCTTTTTTAAATTCAGGGAAATCGCGTTTCGAAAAATGACATTTTTACGTTAAAAAAATTGTGCTGACGTATATAGAACGAAAAGTTTCGAAATTCAATTAACCCTTGGAATTCACACATTTTCTTTATTGATTAACTATTCGAGTGTTATTTTTCAAGGTCGGTTATTTTTTGGCGTGAATTATCCTACGCTGAATTTTGTGGGCGTGTATTTGAGAATTAATTCCTTTTCAATCGTCAATTTCAGGTTCATCTCTACGGACAAGACGTAAACAGTGTCATTAGGCGATGGAATGACTCCGTTGACCTGGGGAGAGTGGAAGAGAAGAACCTGCTGAAACCCAGTTCCGTTTTAAGGTCAATATCCCCGAGACCTCTTCACAAGGTGCCTTTGCGCCTTGCCGACGTCATGTACATCGACACGTCTCATTTACGGGATCCCTTTGGGTCTCGAGGACTCAGGTCTGTTCTCTAGATTTTAATTTTATATTCTTATTTTTCAAATCGAAACTCTGAAAAGGAAAAAAAATAATTTGAAGAAGAAACAAGCTTAATTGATTTATTTTCCGGGGATTTAATTTAGGACGCCGACGTCACCAGTTCGAACCCCGTCGCCAGCATTTCCGGAAGTGGATGGGGATGACTGGGATGCTCCTTTGCGGGATGTGATGAGTTTACTTCCGTCGGAAATATCCACCCTTCAAACTATTGAACATGTCAAAGGTTTGTCCCTTGAAATGTGAAGAAACCTTACTCTTTTTTTCATAACAAAAACAATTATTCCTAACCAAAGGTATACAGTGAGTATAAATGCTTTCAAGAGATATTTTCTATATACAATATTATGAGGCAAAATGGCCCCAAAAATGGACAGGAAAACATTTGGCATAGGAGAAAAAAATAATAATGCGAGGTATTAATCAACTGGTTTTGCAGCTGATGAAATGTTTTCAAGATGACACTTTGAAAATGTATTCCTACAGTTTTGTCAATTAATTTTTTTCATTAACCATTGGATAGCAGAGGTAAAATTCCATCCCATTGGAAAATGGCTAGAAAATTTGTGCATGCTTGTGCATTTTGGTTGGACCAAAAGTCACTAAAACAAAGATTTGGCTGAGTATAGCCAAAGTCCAGACAAATCTGGGGAAGGTAACCCCATTGTATGTGAAATCCCTCAATGCTAATCCCATGAAAGGAATGTGAAAATATGCCAAGCAGCAGCCAAGGTTTAGGATTATTTTTCTCACAGAAAAGAAAAAAATTTCGGAATTTTTCCGGTCTTTGTCTCTCTCTTTATGATCATGCCTGCTTTTTTCTTTTGTTGAATGCATTGTGACACAAAATTTCGTGAATAAATTCCTGCAGCACTGTTCAAAGGTTGAGAGAGATGACCCAGCAAATAATTTTGCCATTGCAACCTGCGTTGCAGCTCCATTGGCAAGCTGTTTTGACCCAAACGTTGGGCTAACGGCTGTTCGGTCACTGTCAAACGGCTGGGGGAGCAGTCGTTCCCTGGGTCGTTCTCAAATGCAGCCAGCATGCATTGCCAACAACCCCTGTTTCCCAGCATGCATGCAACCACCCCCCACCCGCCCTTTTAATTACTGTTGTACAATCCATTCAGAAACCCATTGCACACCCATTCTGAAAACAACCCCAGATATGCATGGAGCAGAAAAAAAGAAAAAAAAATTCCCATTCAATAGCTGCTGTTTTCTTCTTTACTTTGCTTTTTCTGTATTATCCTCTTTCTTCTTTACTTCATCTCTGCTGTGCTTTCCATTCACAATATTCTTTCTTGCTGCTGCTCCTTTGCTTTGAATCTGCTGTCCTGATGATGCTCCTGCTGGGTTTTGAACTGGGGCCATCNTTAGGGAATTTCTTACAGATTTTCAAAGTTTGAAGATCATTTTAGATTTTGCTAAATCTTTTTAGCAAAATTTACAGTTGTGCTCAACAATGAATCAGCAATGTTCAAGTGAACATTGCAGGTACATTGTCTCAACTAAGACTTGAATTTCAAGGACATTTCAGTTTAAATTGGCAAAATTGATATTGTCTCCAATTATATTTTAATGTTTATATATGTGTACATTGCTAATGTGTTGGTACTGCATTGTTCCATGATGCTCTGAATTAGGGTGCATTTTATTGCCCACAAAACATTGGGAGTACCATTCCAAAACGCACCAGCCCTGCATTCTGGAATGGTGCTCTCAACAAGGGGAGCATTTTTATTGCTCAGGAAACGTTGGGAGTACCGTTCAAAAACAATTCTCAGCATGGCTTCTTCTCCAGCCATGTTCTGAATGGACTGCCAATGAGTCTTGGAACGCTTCCCTGAGAATGCCACAGCAGGTCGTTGGGCTCTGCTCCCAACCATTCTGAGAATGGGTTCCAGAACCCGTTGGCAGTCCATTTCCTCAACGGTTCACAGCCCAACGCCCCCATTATTTGCTGGGGAGTTGAAACTGAATTCACAATTCAACACACAGAATGCGTCAGAAAGCAAATGAACACCAACAAACTATTGTGCGAAAAAATTCAATCAGTCTGAAGTATTAATCCCCCCAAAATAAAAAAAAATGCATCACCATGGTTGAGCTTTTTTCAGCCTCTATCTGGATTAGTTTCATTATTTTCAGGTTCTCACCGCTTTCATTTTTGCTGATGTAAGAAAGATTCCCAGCATTTAGAGGACAAAAAATATGGGCAAAAAAAGTACAATTTTAGGAAATCTTAGTGAAATGTTTTTGCCAGACTAAGTCTGACTTTGCCTTAGGCCACCTGGCTTGGTTTGCATGGCCTTCAGCAAAAATAAAACCTGGGAACACCCAAGAAAATCCTGACTTTGTCTTGCAATGGGAATGAAGTGCCTTACACTGCAGAAGAGTTATACTGATGAAGCCTCAATCAGCAAGCCTCATTCTTCAAATAGAACCATTTTCAATAATTTTGTTCAGCGTTTATAATTTTAAAATTTCGGTTCTTTATAAATTGAGTGAAAACTGAGGTTTGATGCCTTTAATGCATCCTGGAAGATATTTCTTTTCTTGTGCACAGACCAATCATAACATCTGTTTTGCATCATGTACCAGATTTACTCAAGTACTATGTGGCCTTAACTTAAACTTAGAGTAAGACAACTTGTACCTTGACTTTTCGGTGCAAAATTGAACCAAAAACCTATATCCCTGGATGATACCAACACACCAGTTAATGCTAGTTTAAAATAGAAATGTGATTTTCAAAAAGTAGCTTTTACAAAACAACCCAATGATGAAATCAGTTAACATAAAGAATCCAATCAGGACTAGTGTCAAAGAGGAATTTTCTTTCAATTGTTTCAGCTGAGACTAATTTATGACTTTCACCAGCATGGTTTTATGAGTTTTTATTTCTTGAACAATTCATACCTGCAAACCACATCCACTGCCTTTTTTTGCTTCATCTGCTTTGAAAAAAAATTTGCATGAGGTACTTGGGTAAATATGATGTAGAGTGGTACAGGTGGTACCTTGCAACTGAACCTCTTGCAATTTGACCATCCTGCCAGAATTCAATGGTGAAATTTTCTGAAAAATTGCCTCACAATTTGACCTTTTTTCTGCAATGTTACCTTCTTCAGCCAATTTTAACATGTTATTTTTGTACTGCTCTTACTTAATTGCTCTTACCTGAACAGAACCTGAACAGCTCCAGTCAATTTGACCATTTTGCAATGTGACTGCCCCAGTCCAGCAACAGATAAGGGTTGCATTTTTGGGTACCCGGTCATCTGCCAGTCAGTCAAATCATGGTTGTGCACCCACCAGTCATCAAGTGCCAGTTGGTCCAACTGCCAGCCAGGGCAGTCCTTGGTATTGCCAATCCACCAAACTGCGGTCCGGTCACCTAATTATTTAGGCACCCAAACACTTGGGTGACAAGAATCATGCTGATTCTTTCCAGAATTTGGTGAGCAGAATGGTATCCTACCACAGATTTTTTTTTCAATACAAAATTTCATCTTATAAAAATTTTCACAAAAAGAAAAAACTCATCAAACCCAACCTAACCTAACATATCCTAACCTAAACTAACATAACGTAAACTGACTGAACCTAACCTAACATTGCTGAAATTTTGCACAAAAAAAATCGGTGGTTGGATACCATTCTGCTCACAAAATTTTGGAAAAAGTCAGCATGATTCTTGTCACCCAATTGTTTGGGTGCCCCAATAATTGGGTGACTGGACCTCAGTTTGGTCGACTGGGGATTGGCAAGACCAAGGACTGCCCTGGCTGGTGGTTGGACCAACTGGCACTTGATGACCAGCGGGTGCGTGACCATGAATTGACCGACCGGTGGCTGACCAGACATGGAATTTTTGGGTTCCACCTTTACCTTGATTGGAATTTAAAAAAAAATATTTTCAACTCTTCTTGTGACACACACACAAATACTCCCTCCATTGGGAATTTCCTTCAAAATTGGCTCCAGACTGGAAAGACGTGATGATGATGAAGTCGCCGTCCTACAATAATGGGCACAGCAGCAGGATGAACTCAGTGAGCCCCATGAATGCCGGCTCTTCGCCTCGGGGCATGCTCAGTCCGGCGGCGCTGAATCGGTCGCCGGGCTTTGCAGCGTCGCCTACGCGTCTGACGGCGTCCCCGACAGTGTCGCCCAAGCCCGGGACGCCCACGTCAGCGCCGCCACAGGCACCGGCGCCGCCGGTCATCCGGAGAATGTCGCCCATGAGTAACGAGGCGAAACCCGCTGCGTGGCGGAACTCGAACCCAGTAGCAGCGGCTTCAGCAGTAGGGCCCATTTTGTGAGTGACTGGCTTAGTTTAGTGCTGGGTTTTCCCAATGGTATCCCTTTTCTCAACGTAGTCAAAATCTCGGTGCAAGGTTTTAAAGTTGGGATTGAATATTCACACCCATTTCATCTGGTTTTTTTGTTGTTATTTGTTTCATTTGTAAAATTGGAGTCATTCCAAATAATATAAGGCATATACTTATTGAGGGGTTTAACAAATGCTTTTGGATTAGAAATGTAAACCGCATAAGATTAGGGCAAAAAACAATTATTGCTCAAAAATAACGCGAAAGCATTCATCAGCACAAAAAGCAAAAAGTCAGCTTTGACATATTTTTTTGGTTTTTTTAATTTTAGAAAACTGCCAGAGCAATGATATACAGTCAACCCTCAAACAATGGACCTCCCAAATAACAGATTTTTGCACAACAGGCCACATCTGGAGGCACTTTTCCCTCCTGCTCATCAGACAAAATCCACCTAACAGACTTCTGTTGGTGTAAAATTAATGGTAAAAAGTAAACAATCAAATGTTCTAATAATTGAATTTGCATAACAGACTTTTTACATGACAGACTAGTCTTTTGCACAAATTAAGTCCATTGCAAGGGGTTGACTGTATGGATGAAAGCGTCAAGGTTTTTGCTTTTTTTTAAATTTCTGAGTATACCATGTATCATTGAGTTTTTTAATGAGCATTGCAAATCAATGCACATGATTGAATGCTTTCAAGAAAATGAAATTTTTTCATCTACAGAATTTATATGCAGTTGAACCTTGATACCTAAAAACTTCCTAAGTTGAATACATTAAACTTTTTTCTGGTACCCATCTGAATCCCCTGAAGAACCTCCCAAAGTCAAAAGCTTTTCCCCTCAAACTTCCATAAGTCAAATTTTCTGCAGCCTGTTGGCCACTCTTTTCTTGACCAAGAAAGAAAAAAGGAATAAAAACATAAATTTGTGTGTTTAAAGGAAGTGAATGACTTAATTGGGCAAATGAACCACTGTCTCCAAGTTCAGCAGTGCCTTTAAACTCATTTGAGAAGCCATTTAAGCCCCAGAATATCACCATTTACATTTCTTCTAAGTTTCACTGAAAAAGGGCTTTGTATTGTAGTTAAAACTTATATATATACAGTACTGAAATGCAGAACCTCCCTGAGTCAAAATTTTTTTTAAAGTCCCATGAAACTTGACTATAAGAGAGGTTTGACTTTATTTTTTAATGAGTTATGATGGTGAATTAAAATTTTGAATTAAACTTCAGTGATCATGAGATTTTCTACTATCAAATACATTCTTGTAGCCAAATAAATAATTCTTGAAAATGTAAATGATCAATTTGGTGATGAAAAGCTTGGGCATTTTAAAGGCTTCTTTTGGAGAAATTGAGCTTGTACATGAATACGGTTAATGATATTTTATCAAGGAAGGGTTTCAATCTCCAATTTGAATTTCACTTCTCTCACAGTCAGAAAAAAATATGTCGACGGGCTTTTTGATGAAACAATTTTGCCAATCATAACGTTCTCCCTGTTTCAGTTTTTGGAATTAGACTTGTAAATTCTACGTTTTAGGAGATGCTTATAGAAAAAATCTTGAATTGTGTTGTGTTGGTTACGTGTTTTTTGTTGTTGCTGTTTTGGATGACTTAAAAAAAATTGAGGAGTTGGGGATTAAGTCATATACTTTGACACCGAGATATTTGACGGAGAGAAAAGATTTCGCAGCCGATTCCTGCATTCGTGGGCCCTGAAAAAATCTCAAATGTCTTTTGTTGTCGTTTCTTTGTCTTCAGACTTGAAAGATTTAACGTTAAATGTGACCCTTTTTCCAGGTCGCCACGAGTGGCCATCCCGGGCCCAGAGTGCTTGAGTGACATGAGAAATCGGCTGCGAAAAACGGATACTGGGAAGGCCTTGTGTTTGGATTCGGACACGCATCAGGCATCAGCATCAGAGGCATCCCGGAACGCGGTTTACAAACGCCCCAAAACGTTGCCAGTCACTCCATGCAATTCCCAGCAAATTGATGACCCGGAAACTCCGCCCTTCAATTTCCAAGTCTCTCTTTCAATTATTTTGGGTTTCATTTTATTTTATTTTTACTAAACATTGAAGACATCCTTTCAGATTTGGAACGTCTTGATTTAAAATATTGATACAGCCAGAAAATGGAAGCTCTTGAAATTATAAACTATTTGACCTGGATTGCAAATTTTTGTAGCAAAATTGAGGCTTTTTAAATAGCTGAAAAGTTACCAGGATTGCAAAACTTTGACACATTTTAATTTCCAACTCTTTGTTTCAATGTTTCAATTACTGTACTGTATTTGAGTTTATTTGAATTAAACTTTGAATAAATTCTTTCAGATTACTGTATATCATCTTGAAGCTTGGTTTAGAATGGAGTACTGATACATTCGAGAAGAAGGAAAGCTAAAAATGATATATTATATGACCTGGATTGCACAATTTTGCAGCCCTTCACTTCCAAGATGTGCTGCATCGATCAAAATTGACAAATATGACATACAGTATTTGTTGGGGATTTTCTCAACTTTAAAATAAGCAACTTCACCCAGATGAAAGAAATAACTGAGCTTACAAACAGTTATGCAGTTTGTTGGTGTTATAGCATTAATGGTGATTTTTTCAGGGTAGATGCACCAGAAAGAAAAAAACGTCTATACCACTTGGATATTTGAAAGAGACTCATGCATTTTCCTAGGCCACACTCA